AGTTATGGTCTGAAGCCACAAATGGGTCAAATTAGCATCTCCACCCGAATGTTGTACTCTCAGCCATGGCCCGAAGCAGGTTTCCTCAAACAATTTTCTTTGTGCAGGTGAAAGCTTCGAAGCAATTGTAGTGGCTAGGCTAACTTTATTCCTTAATGTCAATGAAGCCGAAAAAAATTTCTACAAAAACAATAAACATACCAAGTTAGATATACCAAAAAACTACACTGTGAAGATATACCAAAAACAATAAACATAAAGAGTAGTAGTTTATTCTTGAAACTAAAATTTGCAACACTGTTTTGTGTTTTGGTTGAAATGAAAATTCCAACGAGAAAATGACTATCGCAACGCGGAAATGACTATCGCAACGCGAAATGAAAATCACAACGAGAGAATTGCAAAAAATTAAAATAGCAACGAGAGAATCGCAACGCGAAATGAAAATCGCAATGCGATTTTGGTTTCACGTTGCGATTATCTCGTTGCGATTTTCATTTCGCGTTGCGATTTTCATTTCTCTCGTTGCGATAGTCATTTTCGTGTTGCGATTTTCATTTTCATGTTGCGATTTTAAGTTTAGAAACTATTCTTCTTTTGCAAATTGAAACTTTAATGGATTGCATTACTTCAACCAAAAGACAAAACAAAGACAAATACTAACTTCACAGGGTTAAAGACTAAACAATTTAGCAGTATTAACAGCAATCGAATGAATTTAATAAGAAATCTAAGTGAAATGGTTAATCTATTATTGAAATTACCAGTAAACTTATCATCAATTTCAATATGAAAAACCTAAAATAATGCAAAAATTTCAAAATAAAAATAATTAAAAAAACTAACCATCGGAGGTTGATTTTCCATTTCTGAATGATTGTGAGGGATTTCTGACCGTGAATGGTTGTGAGGGATTTCGCCGGGGATGGGGACGAAAATCTTCGGAGATGGGGACGGATTTCGCCGTAGAGAGTGAGAGATGGAGATGGGGCTGAGTTGTGATTTTAGGTTTTAGGTTATGAGTTGCGATTACGGGATATACTGTGGATGGTTCAGTGTTCCGATAATTAATATTCGTGTTTGGAATTTGAAAATAAAATACGCGTCGCGATTCTAATGGCGCTTTAAAAATCGCGTTGCGATTTACGGATACGCGTTGCGATTTTATGTATTGTCGTTGCGATTTACGGATACGCATTGCGATTTACGTATTCTCGTTGCGATTTACAGATACGCGTTGCGATTTACGTATTCTCGTTGCGATTTACGGATACGTGTTGCGATTTTACGTATTGTCGTTGCGATTTACGGATACTCGTTGCGATAGTCAGAATCGCGTTGCGATTTATATGTTCGCGTTGCGATTTTCATATTCGCGTTGCGATTATGGAAAATCGCAACGCGAATTTGTACTATCGCATTGCGATTCTTCATAATCGCGTTGCGATTCTGGTAACTGATTTGCGATTCTGGAGATCGCGTTGCGATTTTTATTTCGCATTGCGATTTTGTTGGTCATTTTGGCAAATCCAAAAAAAGTTGGTTAAAATCGTATATTATAAGGCATTTTTGGTCACTGAGGTTATTTTCTCTTAATTTTATATCCTAAGGTGATCAAAGTGGTCCTCATACTCTTGGATATGGTTTTATACAATATATGCATTGTATTATTTTGTTTATCAAGTATTTATATTAGATAAATAAAAAATCATATAGAAAACATATATGATCATCGGATTGTTGATTCAATATGATTATATTGATATTAAATATGTAAACATTAATATTCAAAGTGGTCCTCATACTCTTGTTTAATTTCTTTCATCTCTAGTCACTTTGCCCTACACACATGCATGTATCAATTGATATTTGCACGCATTTATTTGATGAATTACTGCAGATCCATAAATTTAAGAATAATGATCTAATTTTTTTAAATTAATGGGTATGCAAAATTTTTATTTTTTCCCTTAACACATTAAGTTAAATTTATTTATTTTTCCAAAATAATAGGGATGCACTTGGCCCCTATCGGGGCTTAGTGCATCCGCCCCTGGTTATATCCGTATATAAATATTTATATTTTTAATATATTCAAATGTATTTATATTTAGGGATAGACACATGATTTTATATTAAGAGAACTAATTTAGAAATTTCTAAGTGAGAAAGAATTTATAAAATTTTAGAAAAGTAAAAACAGATTTTCAATCAAAAACATAAAAAAATATCTAAAATATATATGAATTTAAAATTTTTACGGACAATTACCTCCACCCGTTCCTTTCGGTCCAATGTTTATATTATTATCTATTAGGCCTGTAAACGAACCAAACGCACATGAACGGATGTATGTTCATGTTCGTTCATTTAATAAATAAACGAACACGAACATAAACGAACATATTTTTTTTTGTTCATGTTCGTTTATTAAGGAATATAACTTGTTCATGTTCGTTCATTTAATAAATAAACGAACATAAACGAACACGAACATAAACAAACATAAACATTGGAGACCCTACATTCCATTGTTCTTTCATGAAAAATAGTCGACAATGCAAATCAACAAAATCTACAGTGATAAATAGCATAAGAGCTGATTAGCAGTGATGAAATATTTGAAGATATAACTTGTTTTGAAGCTTTCAGAGATCGTCTCCACTCTCCAGTGAACACTAGGGTTTGGGAAAAAAGGGGAGAAATAAATATAGGTGCGAGGTGCCTCACGGGTTAACATATTGGATTTAATCTCCAAATAAAATTGGGTTAATTATGGAGTTGGTCATCAGAATATCAGATTAATTAATATTTTTAAGATACTTACAAATTGGTCACCAAAATTGATTTAAGAAGATTGGGTTAAACATAAATGAATGAACATAAACGAACATAACCGAACGAACATAAACGAACATAACCTAACGAACGTAATCGAACGTTCACGAACGTAAATGAACGAATGAGACCTATTTTCATGTTCGTTCATTTAATTAAACGAATACAAAATCTTGTTCATGTTCGTTCATTTAATAAATAAACGCACATAAACGAACTTACCGCCACACGGTTCATGAACGGTTCGCTGAACGTTCAGTTCATTTACAGGCCTATTATCTATCTATTTTTCACTTATAGTTTGAATTATTATTATTACATTATTAATAAATAAATATTTTATAAAAAATAAAATAATAATAAACATTTTAAAAATAAACTTAAAATTTTAAAAGTAAATGGATAAAATAGTCATAATCATTTTAAAAATGATTATAAAATAATTTTTCGCCGATAATACATCAAATAATATTATTTAAGTATTCAGAAATATTCTTTAACGTGAAAATGCAGTATACTTCAGTATTATATTTCATATAATTGAAAAATTACTTTAATACTGTGTTTTTTTATAAGGGTCTGTATCTGGTATACACATGCCAAAATTAAGATCCCCTAGGGCTAGGGTTCAGTGCGGGGCTCATTGAATAAGGACCCATTTCCGATTCCCATCAAGCATCTTAGATTAATTAAGCTTACACGGTCCATTGAATTGAGGTATTTAAGCTTTACGGCCAACTCTCCCATTTCCATACTCCATATATTCATAGGCTTTCACATGTGCCTATCTATAGATATATATAAACAATTTAATCCCTTTGAAATATGAGTGTTCAAGAGTTGGGGTATCAACTACCAAGAAAATCAAGTAATTTAGATATATATCCATTAAGGTGCTTACCTAACACGATAAAGATTATCTAAAAGGTAAATCTAATTTATAATTGTTTAAATTAAAAGGTTGTACTTAATCATTGAATTAAAATTTTAAGTAGGTTTTTAAAATAATTTAAATAAAATTATGTTTTACTTTTTAAAAACATCATTCGTATTTTAGGACTTCTAGAGAATACAACATCTTAAAATATCCCGTAGATTTATAAACATCTTTAAATTTTTGATCTTTTACGTGCCTCCAAACTTTTGGGAAATTCAGGAAAATTATCTTTAGACAGAGAATCTTTGGAGCCTTATACCTCGAAAAGTTATAAGATATGACTTTTGACGGATTCACGTTGTTTATCATAATCAAATCTATTTTCAAATGATTGTATCTACTTAATTTGTTAATCTATGAGTAATCATAATAACTCTATGTCTGACATCAACACTAAGAGTCAATATAAATCTTTTCGTTCAAGATTAAGAGAAAGCATCTCTAACCTTCTTCAACAACCTCTTTTGTCGTTTCATCATCAACTACGACTCTCCACTCAAATTATAAGAAATAAACCATCTACAGTCATCACAACTCATCTGTTCTCATCAAAATCTAGAACACTGATATAAGAATAAGGATATTGAGATTAAGAACAATTCATTTGGTTTGGGAAACAATTTCCCTTCATTCCTTCTACCTTCCCCACTATGATATTTTGGTGGGGGGGGGGGAACTTTATCACTTAGACAAAGATATGGTAATGTGGACCATTGAAAGTATGGTTGGGGAAGAGGCCTACCCAGAAGTTGTCCAAAGTCTTGAATGTCTGTATGGTTTACCAATACTTTGGTCACATTGGATAGAAATGACAGCCTTTATGAAAGGTGTAACAAAACAATGTATCTTTTTAAAGTTAGTTTGACTTTGAAGATAGCTTGCGCAAATGAAAGGAAGACCGAACCCTTCTTTTTCTTTATCTTACAACTAAAACAAACTAAAGTTGATTCCCTTTTATTGTTCTTACCAGGTTCTGTATTTGGGTTTCCGGTGGATTGCTAGATTTTCAGGGTCCTTTCAATTAATTTTCCACATGATCCGTCTTTTAATTAATGTCGGATTTTGAACCATAAAATTCTATAAATTCTCGAAGTCCATGGATTTGATGACGCCATAGAATATAAACTCAGTAATTAGACAACAACAAGACAAGTTGAACCACCATATCTTGTTCTGTTTTATCAGAAATAATAATACAATACAAGAAGAAGCCGATGTACTTTTTAACCCAAAATCATTTTCACACACAATTTGGCAATGGTAGAGGAAAGCTCAACTTACTATCATTTTCTATACAGGAAAAAAAAAGTATGTTATTATTAGGTTCTCTTCGTGAGAGTCCTTATTATCCAGCTTTTCTTCATGGCCTTGACTCCCTCAGCCTTGTTGGTGGACCTCTTCCACCTTACGAGCTGAAACAAGTGGCCCATCCGCTTTCGCCACCGGAGCGAGCCACCTGGTTTCGGATGCTCGATCACACTCTTATTGCCCTCTTTTAGTCCTTTGTCCAACGTGGGGTTCCACGACATGCTGCAATTCTCAAGTGAAACCTTTGAAACTTTGCCTTTTTCCCATGAACTAACACCATTCTCTTCAAACTTGATTGAGATAAAGGAGTCTGCAGAAAGAAAAGGAAGAAGATTACAATAAATCAAAGCACAGTTCTATAACATGGAAAAGTTTATTGTATGTTAAAGGATCCTCAGAATATATCAAAGTAACTTGGAAGATATGTAATTTAGTACATCCACAAGATTTGTAACTGGTTAATTAGCTGCATTAATGGTGAGGCCAACTTGTAGCCCGAAAAAGAATGTAAAGGAAAGGCAAGTTTTACCAAATGGAATGGACATTCAAGGGGTCCATTTTTTGTGGAAGATTAGATGAATTTGCATAAATTATATGCAGAATTCAAATGACTTTTTGCTAGCCAAACATATATTTCCATGAAAACACACACGAATATTTTCATGCAGGGGAAAAGTTGCAGAGGAAACTGAAAAAAACAGGATAAGATTCTTGGTTTTCCAGTTTTGCCATACTTTGACCACACTTATGTCATTTACACAAACAATAATTCTGCATACGAAGAGACATGTGCATGCATGTGATGGATATTCAAGAAAGAAAGAAAAAAAGAGAGAGAGGGAGAGGGATCTGAAACTGAAATTGAAAAGGGTGTTTACTGTTTACCTTCTTGACTGGTTGAAGCATCATGGTCATCAAAATCTTGAGATTTCCGTTGCTTGAGCTCACGGCGATGGGGAAGTGGGCCTAAAGCAAAGATCTTGGGGAGGTGAATATGTGGTTTCTTTTGAAGAAATCTATGGCTGCCTCTGGTGGACGACGATGAAGATGAAGAGTGGCCGCCTTGCTTTGAAGCTAAGATAAGAAGCCTGTCGTTTAAGCACAAAGGGCAAACCCCGATGACCACTTGTTTAGGATGGAAATAGCAGTATGAATCGTCTTCCCTATACCCATTCATCATAATAATATGGTGGCTATGGCGATTGTACTGGAAAACAAGAGAAGCAAATGTGAACTCTTACAAGACAAACTACAATGAGTCCTTGGATTGCTGTTCTGATACCTTATATTGCGGAGAATGTGGGTAGAGAATTATGAAAACACAATAAAATTTGAGTTCCGAGTCAACAACTCAGAAGAGTAAATGAATATTGCTAATTCATATAGAAATATTAAAATTTATTTGACTTATTATTAAATGTTGTATAAATATAAAATCTTTAAAATACAAATTATTAGAAAATATATATTAAAAACAATAAAACAATTACTAAAATTATTGTTTTATAACAAATTGGTCACTCTGCCTTTAACAACCGTTATCCCAACAACAAAGTACTGATGTGGCATGTTAGACCGACTTATTTGGCATTCTTTGGCCGTGCAAGACATGAATAAACTGCATAAATAATCATTGAAGTATGATTAAATTCCTTTTTTCAACATTGAAATTTCAAAAGTAATGAAACGATCACTAACGTTATTGTTTTGTAACATTTCAATCATATTTCCTATTCATTGAGTAAAGGATCGAGTAACCGGTTTGTTATAAAACGATAATATTAGTGATTATTTCATTATTTTTGAAACTTCAATATTAAAAAAGAAATGTACTCGTACTTTAATGACCATTTCATGTAATTTACCCTTTTCCAAATAACCATAATTCAGGGAATTTGAATTGTTTATTGATAGCGGCCTAACAAGGAAAAGATTTGAATTGTTTATTGATAGTTAAATAAACATACTAACGTTATATTATAATTACATCCAATAATTCCGAGCATGAAAGTACCAACATTTAGAACAAACATATTTGATCGGTTTGTTAAGTTGTTCCTTCACGTTCCTCTAAATATAATTAAAATTAAATTTAAAATTTATCAAAAATACATATCACCATTTAAATATATACGTTCCAAGTACAATCATGATTTGTTAAGAGTTTACATCAATTCCCACCCAATAATTATATCCCATGGGCATGTTATTCTGTCCCCCTGCATTTGTACAAAAGTAAATGCTTTTGAAAATGAAATGTCTTAAATGAGGGCTAAAAATCATAAGAAAAAGAAGAGGTTGATTTGAGTTTTGAAGGTGTCCGTGAGAGAGTTTAAGAAAAGGTGAAAGGGAAACAATGAAAAGCAATAGGGAGTGAGTCACAGTCACATGGGGAAGAAGAAGGGGCTGTTAGGTTCCCAATGTGGGTTGGGCAAGTATTCTTATGAGCATCATCACATACCGAGCAAACTTTAGATGTCCCTTTGTATTCAAAGGTAAGTGTAGCAGTGACAGATCTTAATAATACAGTTTAATTTTTTTTTTTAAAAGCTTTGAAGACTTTTAAAATTACAGGTATATTTTATTTTATTTGATGGAACATTATGGTTCAAAAGAAGAAATAGTGATAACATAAAGGTTTGGGCATCGACTCCTTCCTCACATATTTTCCTCTAAATTATAAATCTCTCTTTCTAGAATAATACTTCTCCAGACTTGCTGACCCTCAATGTTCACTTTTAAGTGTTCATGCAGTACCGACTGTTAAAAAAACCGTTAATAGACACATGTCATCGTTAAACGACCCTCAATGTTCCTAAACCCAAATCATCCAACTCTTTTGTCGGTCGCTTTTGTTGCTGTCACAGTTGCCAGTGGCCGTTACCTCTGTCGCTGTTGTTGGTTGCATACCCACCGATCATCCATTTTCACGAGGTCACAAATTCCAGTGATAGTTTTTAAATATATATGTTGGACGGGGTACCTTTTGTTGAAGCGCATCCTCTGATGATACCCTCGGTTCGGTTTTTTGTCTGACCAGTTCCTTTTATTGTGATTCTTTGTCTCTATCACAATTCCCTGTTGTTTTGGGAATCATCTATGTCGTAGAAATTATCTGCCTTTTGAATTCGAGTGACGGTTCCTTATGCAGAAAATGAGAATTGTTTGATGTAGCATGCTATGCTACATACGTCAGTAGCTCCTTCATATTGTATGAACGGTTCCCTTGCTCTCCAAGAGCTGCCTAAATAGTGTTCATTTTTTTTTGCTTTGGAATGTCAAATGTGGATAAAATGATGTTCATGCTAATGCTAGTTTTAATTTCACTTCTCGGTGACAAACTTTTCAACTTGTTTTTCATATTGTTTGTCTCTCTGTATCTCTTCTCAATAATGAACTGATGACATAGGATTTCCCGACGAGCAGTATATTTCGGTTTTTGACTACTCATTTTTGCCAGAAAACATCAGTTTTTATCTTATCTGAACGAACTCACAATTCTCTTCATTGCAACAGGTAAGGAAAGGGATTGTCGATGCTATTTTCAATAGTCAAGAGATGACAGGAGGATTTGTTACATTTTAGGCCCTAGTTTACCACTGAACTTTGACAACATGAGCCCATCTTATTGATGTCTATCCAGTTCAGAGTTTTCCGAAGCACACTTCCCGCGGTAAGTTCGAGTAGCATGGATAACAAGAATATTATACTCTGCACATGCAAAGTAACAAAAACACAGATAAATCAATGCTCAGTTCTATGAAGAAGGAAACATTCTTTGAGACTGTTATAAGCGAAGATATAAACATGCGGAACCTGACAAAAAAGATTTGGATCTAACGATCCTGCGTAATGGCACACAAAGCAAAAACATGTGTGTTTTGTTGTAGCTTGTTTAGAATTTAAACATAAACTGCAATGGAAAACTAAAACAAATAAAATCATATACATATAAAAAAAAAGGAATGTTGAAATCTGGGTTCTAACGTGTATATTTTGGGCAGGTCTTTAGAGAAAGCTCTTCTAATGGCCTCTTTCTTGATCTTGAGCGCTGCAGTGACAAGGGCAGAGTACAAACCAAATTGATTTTTGCAAGAATCTCGAACTTCTCCAACCGTGACTTCTTGGCAGCCTGCATTATAAAAGCGACATTCGAAAGGTCGGAGTGAGAAGGCTTGATTCTCCCTGTCACTGTTCGCCATCTCAATTAGAGACACACAAAGGGTATGCTCGATGTAATTATGAGTACCATATCTTTCTTTTATGCATCAAACAACATGCAAATTCAAAGCCTTGATTCTTCTTCTTTTTTTCCCTAACTTTTCCATTGTTGGGATTTCAAACCCCAAGCTGTCAGGCTTTCATAAAGTTTATGCAAGCTCCTGAGTTCTTTCCACAAAAATGAACTTAAACATTTTTTTCACCGTTTTCTTTCGTTCTTTCTCTCCGGGTGTGTTCTTCAAAGTTCAAAATTGCACACGACTTGGAATTTTCAGCACACAAATTAAGGCATGTGATGCATAAACTATTACTGTTCTTCTTTCATCCAGCAATTTTGGGATTTAATGGTTATTACTGTTTTTATTTCATTTGGAGATTTTGAGATTTAATGATTATGCCGAAATCAAGATAAAACAGACCAAAAAAATTAAGAATTAAATTGATAAAAAAAAATCAAGTTATACACTACTTTAAACTATAGTAGTTGGATGACTAACGACTTAGTTTGCCCTACATTATATTGATAATTAAGTAAATAGTAAATTATTAGAATATTAATCTTAATTTTACACCAATGTACGTGAATCCATCTTATATAGAATTGGAAAAGTAACAGGTAATATAACCCATGACATGAGCATCCAGGGACTACAACCCACAATAAAAAACAATGAAACACTCTATGACCCAAGCAATAACCTGAATAGTTCAATCCTTCAGCAACGAATTACAAAATCAGTGATTTGGATCTCTACTTTCTACAATAACAATAAGAGAAGTTTAATATATTTTCTCAACTACCAAGAGTACCCTTCGTAACTTGCCAAAAATGGTTAAAATCGAAAGCACGGACCATTAGAAGTTGAAAACAATGGGGTAACATGTTTGTATAGTAGTTTAGTTTGAACCCGATTCCCCATTTCTGTCCTGGTTGTTTCCATGCGGTGGTGTCCCTGAGAACATATCCATCACTGATCTGAAAGCGCCAGTTAACTCTTCTGGTATTTGCATTTGCTCACCGAAATTCATGTTGAAGTTCCCACCTATTCTTATTCCAGGTTCTTCCAATCCTTCATTCATGTTGACATCTCCACCCTGCCTGTTTTGAGATGGTTGTCCCTGATATGCACTTGCAGCCATATTCATGAGCATGCTCGCAATGTCCGTCGGAAGGGAACTAGGGTCGAAAGGCATTGTAAAAGGAGTTGATCCGCTATGACTCCTTGATCCAGTTGATTGGTCATTAGATCCTTGATTATTTTGACTGGAACTAGAACCCTGCAAGATGTGTATTAAAAGATGGAAAGAAAATGAGACATTTCGATGAAAACCTCAATATGATCTCTTCAGAAAGGGAAGGGATACATATGAATATGGAGAAACACGAGAAATAATTTCAGAATAACATTCCTTCAAGCAAAATTTATTGAGAATAACTGAGTAAACAAAATGGGGTCGCATTATCAAGGGGCTTGAGAAAGTCATATCCACCGTCTTTTAGTGCCAAATTGTAAGGTGGTAAACTGATAATGAATATTATTGTGAGTTATTTACAAGAAACTGATAGTTCATATTACCCGATCCCTTTCAGCTCTCTGCTGTTCATCTTTCAATTTCTGCTCAGCAACCTGTATATCAAAACCATAATGTCAAGATCGCAATATCAATGTAAGAAAAGGAACACTGAAACCTACCTTAATATTTCTTTCACAGATTCATTGTTTGGATCCAGTTGTAAGGCTGCACAGGTCAGATGAAAGAGGAAAAATTAAAGATTAGAAACTACCATGTTTGACAGCATAAAGAATTGGCAACCATCAATTCTGTGATTGATACGGGGAAGGAAATAAAAGGACTTTAAGAAAATGAGGAAGCTATCTTAAAATGTGAATGTAATAAAACAATCCAAACCAAGAGATAAATGCTTAGAAATGATATCATATATTTGAATATGTCCATAACAGTAATCATGTATAGTTCAGAAATAATTTCTCAACAACCTTTCTTAAATCCTTTCTCAATAGCATCAGCATAGTTGCCTTGAGCATAATAT